CTTCCAGCCCAGCAGATTCTGCAATTCCACAATTCACTGTGATACCTGTACCTTTGATTCTTATGCCAAAAGAAGTTCCAGAGTTTGCTAAGGGAAACATCTAAAGAAGAAAAGACAGGGTTTATTAGAGTGGAATATCTATTACCACTAGATTCCTGCATAAGGAAGAGAAAAATACAAAAGATTTCAATGCCACTGAGTGGCTAAAGGCAGACTTCAGTATCAATATAGTATATTTTATAAATATAAACATAAACACAAACATAAACATAAACATAAATATAAATATAAATATAAATATAAATATAAATATAAATATAAATATAAATATAAATATAAATATAATATAATATATATATGTATATATATATGAAATGTAGTAGATGCTATCATTTTATACAATCAGTTGAAAAAGTGGAAGCTCCATATAGTGGGTTTAGTCATTTCTGTTTAGCAGCACATTGTAATGAGTGTTGGCTGGTTATTTAAACAATTCCAATAATATATAATATATTCCATTTATATATATATAAACACATAATTCTATTAATATATAATATATAATATAATATAAATATAAACATATAATATATTTATTATATATTGTTACATATTGTATATTGTTATAATATATTGTATATATTATAATATTATATATTATAATATATACTGTATATACTTTTTTATATTACAAAAATATATAAATCCTATATATTTTGAAGGGTTCCAAAACAGCTCATAAATTGGAATTTCTCAAATTTCAAAAAGATTCTCACAAAAGAAAAAAAGGCTTCAATAATCTGTAATAATATTTTGGATCTAATTTTTTTTTACAATAAAAGAGTAAAATTAGTTTTCTGAGAAAAGCTCTTAAAATATACTCTAGATGTTGCTGGCATCCTTCTCAAAGAGCAGGGTTGTGTTATTCTGTCTTTAAGGATATGATCAGCCCATTGTGGAAATAATCAATTCCATTTTGATATGATGATGCAAGAGAAAATGTCTATATCTTACAACACATCTCTGTCTTAGGTCTTGAGATCTCCAACCTAAAACAAGGATAAGCTCATAATATATGATGACTTAAATATTTTTGCATATTTTATGGGTATTTTTCATGCAAAATCCCAGTATAAATGCACTTAAATAATAACATATAACACAGTCATTACAGAAAAATTTGTAATAAAATGTATTAATTTCAAGTTCAAAGACAAGATTCTTTTTTTTTTTTTCTGAAAAATAAAATGTGACAACTTTAATTTTTATGTGCTGGTGAGAAAAAGCCCTAGAGTACTTAGAATGCTGCTTGGAATTTAAACATTTCCTAACTGGTCAATGGTTAGAATCCATCTTTTCACTGACACTCCTTGCAGAAAAGGTTTCTATTTTAAATGTAATCACACTCTGAAGCAGGATCATGGTAAATGGCAAACACAGAAACTGAAAAATTGCTGAATGGAACACGAAGTGTTCAAGAAGCCATTTTTTCCTCAATAACATGACTGATATGCACAATTTTTTTATGAAGGGGTGATAACAAATTGATTCTTTTACTCAGCAAGTTTGCTGAAGTCACTGCAGTAAAATTCACTAGAAATAAGATAATACCGCTTGAAGAAATCGGTAAATAACGAAGAAAACATGAAGCAGTACACTGGAAACACCTGAAATTCAACTGTAATGAGTGGAGGCACAATAAAAGCTGGCAGGAGAAACACGAGGTAATAAAAGAATAAATAAAATACCCACTATATTTTGAAATTCAGCAACTGCTAAATATATTTGTCTGCAAACAAACACTGAAGTATGTGTGCTCCCATAAATTTCCAAGGAATAGTTAATTAAATACAACCACAGACCATCACCAAGGCACAGTTCTGCACCACACTAGTTCCACAATACTCCTCCCCAAAACAGGTTTTAAATGCTTGAAACTTGACACATTTTTGTTTGCTAAACTCCTGTTGGAATGGCACCTGTCACTGATATGTCACATGTATTAATTATAAATACTGAATTAATTCAAAGCAGCAATGGCTTTCAGTTTTTACCCCAGATCATGCAATTTGTCACTTTATGTTTGAGTCCTTCTTCACTTAGTCAAACCTTCAAGTTAAATTTTAGTATTTTGGAAAGATGAGAAGATTAATAAATCCCAAAAAACCAAGACAACAGCACCACTGTGAATTAGACTTCACCCAGGTATTGATGCCACTTGAAGCAATGAAAGTATATGCAAGGTGACAGAGTTCTGACAAACTTTGTGATTTGTACTGGAAATACAAATTTCTACAAAAGTGTTAACCTTTGAAATATTTGGGTTTAACTACATCTGTAAAAAGTCAGTCTCATTTCCATGGCATCACTTGTACATATTTTCAGGGCTTTACACTGTATCACTGATACTTTTACTGTATCACTGATCTTCCATTCCCATGTAAAAAAGATTTGCTGCTGGTATTTGACCTGGTTACCTGTGTGTTCAGGACTGAAATGCAGCCATCAGTGTGTTTATACTGACCACTCACACCACTCTCTGCCCAGTCTTGGGCTAGAGAAAGAAAATATAAAATAGGTACTGCCTGTCCCTACAGACCTCTAAAACTCATCTTCAATAACTCTAGTTTTTTTAAAATGTGGACGTTACCATTCATTACATGTATAAATATTTTTTTTAAGTAAAAAAAAGATAATTTGGAATGATTTACAGAGAATTTGTGAATGTTTTCAATATGAAACATTGAAAACAATGACACTATGAACTGTCATTTTCCACTTCTATTAAACTTGTAAGCAGGGGTGTTAAAAGGTCTGTTTTCTGGTTTTGGTGGCTTTTCTACTTCTAGCAGTGACTTTTTGCTGTTGCACTTACCCTTTTAATGGACACACAATATGTTACTCTGTGCCCAAGCTCACCTACTCTTTCTTTTCTCAAAAGACAAGGCACATCTGCCACCTGCTCTAGTCTGTGTCCCAGCAACAACTGTCGAGCAGCAAAAAGATTGATTATCAGTCAAAAACCATTCAACAACACCAGATTTTGGTAGGTTAAGCTTGCTGATCCAGCAAGAGATGGTGTGAAATTTTCAGTAATGTGTGCCAACATTTTGGTGCTAAAAGAACAGCAGTGCATGTCACGGTGAAACACAGCCAAAGATATGCAGACAAAGCACAGAAGTTTTTGTTTTGAACTTGGCTTGCAGGAGGAAAATGAGAGGAAAAAAAAGAAAAGGACTCACATAATGACTTTGAAAATCTATCAAAACACTCAAGCCATAAGCATGGAGGAACTGGAATATGTGTGCCAGTGAAGATTTTGTGAAAAACAGTGGTATTCCTAAAAAAATCCTGCAATAATAGGATTGTGTAAATGATTCATAGAGCAGAAATAGCAGATTTATCACACACTTTTGCAAGAATAAAAACAGTGATCTGTGCCTTTCTTTGAATATACAGATCATTAATTACAGCCATTCTGGTGATTCCACCACCTGAATTGTACTCAGAATAATTTTTGTTATTAAAAAAAGATTAAAATGTATTAAATTGATTATGTAAGGCACAGGCTTACTAACACAAGTTTCCTTCGTAAATCCCTCCATGAATACATAGACAAGCCTTTAATTACTTGACTCACATCATAATTAGTATTAGATGTTTCTGTTTAGAGAAAGAGGTATATAATAGTGATTTTTTTTGTGAAATAGTCAGTAATGAGTATGATAAAGACATTGTCTTAACATGTATTTGTAGTATTATCAATCTCTAAAAGAATTAGTGAAACTTCACTTGAATATTTTGAAATTTTGAATTAATGACTTAACACTAAAATATGTCCCCTAATATTTCCCAAGATAAGAACTGCTATTGAAAAGCCATGTAGAAAAATAAAACCAAAGACTTGTTTCTAAAGAATATATATGAGGTTTCCCTCAAAAAAAAAGCCCCAAAATGCAAAGACATCTGCATTTAAAATACATACCATATATATACAAAATAATATGCAAACTATGTGAATGATTTCCTCATGTTTTTCTTTGCAATCCCTAACTTTCTAAAAAACCTACCACACAATTTGCTACAAGATTATAAAACATTGAACATTTCACGTTATATTAAACAATTGATCTTATTTACATTTCTCATTGTAACTGTACACTGGAACTGTAGGTTCCTACCTCCATACACACCATCTTAATAATCATTTTGCTTTTTAGAATATTTAAGGTTGTATTAACAAAAAAGTTCTTTATCACAAATGTTGGCTGAATTAATAGTTTGATAGAATACCCAAGTGGTATCTTCAGTTTGATACTGAACCCTGCTTTAAGCTACAGTTTTAAAATGCTGCCAGGAATTTGCAGCAGCAATCTCACAAGGTACCCCATGATCTTAAAATGACAGTGCAAACATTTACATGAATATCTAAACTGTACAGGATTCAGAAACATTTTGCACCCCTTTTAAAAACTAAAACATAATTACCACTCTGGTAAAAGAATGAGAAGGAGGAAAGAAAAATTTTAGTGATGGTCTCACTGAAGAATCTAAAATTTAGAAAGTGTAAGAAAGAAAATAGTCCATATTGCTGTATTAAACTTCAAAAAAATGTTAAATGACAGCATTAATGAATCCAATCTTACATTCTGGAATACTTTTGCTAGAGGAATAAACCTAATTAATTATGTGTGTTTGATGTCACTGAAACCAAACAGTAAATTCAATAATCTCTTTACATTTTCACCATTTAACCTCCTGCAGGCTCCCTAATGTCTATTCAGATCTATATTAAATTAAGTACCAATGCTAATGAAGGGCAATAAATGTGGCTGTCAGTAGATTTTTCTTTCATTAAGCACATTATCCTCTTACTGAGCTGTAAATGAGTAAACATTAGTTTTGTTAAACCATGCAAAAAAGACAGGATAAAAATAATTTTTAATTGCACCCCTTTAGCCATTTGCTGGGGGTTCTCAGTTCTGGTTTTGGGGTTTTACCTTCTGGGGTTTTTTTTGGGTGGCCACAGAAATGTTTCTCCAGTTGCAACGTGGGGTCTGTGCCTGGTTCTGGTGCCTCGGTGCCGCCTGCCAAGAACTCTCATTGTGCAGCCATGTTCAGAGTCAGCTTCTCAGAGCACTCCTCCAGCAGCTAAATGGATGCAAGGGGGAAGGAATGCTGCTTGAAAACAGAGTTATTTTGTCACTAATACAGGATCAGGACAAATAAAACTGGAAATTAAAAAATCCTCTCTTAATTAATTTACCGATCGAACCGCACGTAATTCAGATTTGTATTGATGATTTCTAGAAATCATGGGATGAGAAACACACATGACCTCAAAAACTTGGTTTTAAAGTATTGTGTCCTTTTCTTTTAATGTTAAATAATATTGTACTTAATTCTGTAACTTATTTCATTTAGCATTTATAAGTATTTTTAACAAGTTGTGCATTTTAGAAATAGAGTACAAAGGATGAAAATTTTCATATAAGCTTAATTTAAAGCAAAAAAGGATTTACATTAGGGTTTGAAGCAAGAGCTACAGAGAAACTTTATACATGCAAGAAAATTTGTATTAGAGGTTACTGGCTTAATTAAGGACACAGAAACTTTAGCAAAGAAATCTTTCTTGTGCCATTTTTCTAAGCTATGACTTTGATTACATTTGGCTGCTGTTAATAACTTTGGATACTTCAAATGCCCTGTGGTTATGGCATGAGTTTTGAAACAGAGAGCACATTTAATTCTGTTAAAAAAGAAAATCCAGTTTAGCATATGAAAGAAACAATCCAATATTATTTTCTTAACTTTTTTTTTTAAGAATTTTTATAATAGTTGTGTAAGAAGACAATCTGAGAACACGGTCATTAAAATTCTTCACAGTGTAAGAAGTATTTCACAGCACCTAATACAGAAAACACAGAGAAATGGAGCTCTTCTAAACAAAATTCACTTAACCTATCCCAAACTGTGTTTATTCAGAACTTCTAAAATACTGGAAAGTTGTTGTTGTGAAGCCTTTTTATAAAATGTCTTAAGAACATCACATAAAAATAAATCACCTTATTTTTCAAAATTTATCAGCTCAAATAAATATAGGAAAAAAATAGATTCTGAGAAAACTCCTAATGAAAGAGAACTTTGTGCATAATATGTAGGTTATTGCTTCTAGTTTAAAAAGTAAGAACTGGTGACAGTCTTTTCTCAGGCAAAATTTCAATCAAATTGACAGCAATTATGCCTATACAGTGACTGCAGAGTGAGGCTTATTGTTAATTGTTTCTGTTTCCCAGACAGAAAAGCATATTCAATACAGCTGCCAGAATAAAATTAAATAAACTAATAATCAGTTTAAAAACCATCATGATACTACTTTAAAATGCTTATATTTTGTGAATAACAGCAAAATAAAGTAGTGAATATTTTATTGAATATAAACATATAAACATTATATTCATATATAGTGAACATAATAATATTAAGACTACTTTAAAAAATTAAAGGAAAGGAAAGCAGATTTAATAAATGTCACACTTCAGCAAGAACATTTGTGGCATGTGGCCTCTCTCCTGCTCTTCAACAAGAGGTTCCCATGCAGAGCTCAAAACTTGTTTGAGGCCTGAGATGTGAATTCCTCTCCCTTAAAAAATTTTTTGGAAGTTTTCCCATTCATTTAAATTAGCACTGAACTGATACATCACTTAAACCACAATAATGTACACATAATCAAGTTTCCACATTTCTTGAATTGCAAAATCACCACATAAGAATCCCAGGTTTTTTTCTGTCTTTTTTTTAGAATTTCTGAAGAAAGTCATGCTATTAAATCAATGTAGCTACTTCAGTGCTGAGTACTAAATCATAAAATAAGAAAGCCAGAATGTGACCCCTTGAAAAGTAACTATAAATGACTTTCATACACCAGGGGACCGTTATATTAATATACATGTCTTATCAAACAAAATCAGCAATTACAGGTTTTTGAAGAAGTCCTTTCAAAAAACAGCTCCTAAATAAAAAATGAGAGCCCTTTGAATTTTATTTGAGGTCACAAATCAAGGGATACCATGATAACTGCAATCATCAAGCTTTGTCTCAGTTTACAATTTCCTCTCTCAAAACAGAAGGCATTAACAACAAAAAGCTTTTGATGAGGATGTCTAAGTTCAGCACGTTACAGTGCACTTTTTTCTTTAATCACCTTTATGGTACATTGCAAAATCCAATTGCTCTCTTGGATTTCCCTGACAGACAAAATCCATTCATTTTGGATTAATTATGGAGAATCACATTCTTCTTACAGAGATGTCAGCTTGTTGGCTATTACCCATCTATTGTTAAGCCTTAAAAATTTGTAAAGTGGACTGGGATGCCTGATTCACTGTAATTTTGTCTTCCAGGAATGTTTGCTTGGAATCAATGAGGTACTAAAAGCTCAATACTCAGACAAATTTCTAGGTCAAGAAATCTTAATGAAAATTAGAATATCAACTGAATCATCATTACAAGGTGACTGAACTGCAGCACCCTTGATTAAAAGCAAGAGAGGAGAGCTTTGATTACCTTGGTTGACCTGTGGGAACACTTTCAGCTCTGTTTCTCTCGGGTGGTGATAGAAGAGAGAAATTGCCTGTACTGCTTGATTTGTAGCTGTCTATACATCTGATGCTCCATCACAGCTCTGAACTGGTTTTGTTTGATGTGGAGAACAATGTTGAAGTCTTGACCTTCTTGATACCATTGCTGTGGGCAAATAGAAATTGTTTAGATCTTTGTTTCCCTTCAATATTTTAACAGGTTTTTTCACAAAGGGAGGGGAACATTTTGCAAGACAAAAATATGATAAATGGAGTTAAAATTTTATCTTTTCATTCTGGTCATTCAACTACTTTAAATTAGTATTAATTGATTGTACAGAGTTCAGAAAAGCCCACAGCATCTTAATTAAAGCTGCAAAGTGCCCTATGAAACTGTGTTAGCATTTCCATCCTGATTCTTATTTCTGCAAATATTATTTCAGATTTTGGCTCAATTAACCTTTGCACAAGCTGGGATCAGAAGGGCAATGCACAAGTGCTGTAGGACAGGATTACAGTGAAATACAGCAGGTATTTTAGCTATGCAAGCCTTCCTCATACAAAATGAACATTGAATTATCTCATAAGCTCGAAATAAAGGCTTTACTTGCATAAAAACATTAAAAATAATGAGAACAAAAGCCTCCAGCTTTCAATTTGGGGCTACTATTAATGACACAAAATTACTTTATACCATAGGCCAAAAGTCCAGATGTAATATTCACCCATATGAAGATCAAGAAATCCAATTTTATCCAGCCTTTGGAAGATCCAAATCAGCACAAGTGTAACTGTGCCAAGAGCAGAATTAAAGATCAAGATGAAGCAAGAAAGAAATTGGATGAGATCAAGCCCTCATTGTCCTTTCATATTCAAGTAACTCCTCAGTATCAGAATATTAAAAGCAATTAAACTTTGGTTTATTCATGGCCAAAACATTGAGGTATTTTTGTAATTATTACAGAAGAAAATTCTACTTTCAGTTAGTCCTACATTCAGAAATTCAAACTTTCTATTCCGCTCCTCTTGTGCAATTTTCTCATTATTCATTGTTGTCTAACTAAAGCAGATCTCCATGTTTCTTTTTAAAGAGAGAGCAACAGTACAACAACAATAAACAAACAAATGGCCCAAACAATTTCCTAAGGCATAAATCTGCACCTGACTAATACTCTTCTTTGCCAAGTTAAAAATACAGTTACTTTAACAGATGGTGGTTCAGTAACAGTGATACAGGTCAAAGTTATCCCACAGTTTGGGATGTGAATCCAACAGCAGGATAATGACAGTTGCCAAGGATTTGTGCTTGCTGTCGCTTACTACCAGTGTTGCCTGTCAAATTGTCTCTTTCTCTCATACAGAATCCATGGAATTTTTTATGGATAGGAATTATGATATACAATGAAGTTACGTCAGATGTAACAACCACCCTTTAGCCCTTCCTTATTTGGTCTTTGTTATTTCTAGTCATCTATTTTCACCTAAATTATTTATTTGTACTGCATATTTGACAAGAATGTGTTCTTTATTTTATTTCATTATCTGCTCAAAAGATACAGTGATTTATTCCAATGTTCTCCTATTTCAATCTACCTTTATTTTTATTCTTGTAAGCACTGTCTGAACAGCAAAGGCATTCTGTTTATCTATCAAAGATATTAAAAATTAAAATAATGGCAATATCAGACCTTAATTAAGATGGAGGGATTAAGAAAACCTTCTATTTATCCATAACTTGTTTACATTTTAATTTTTCTCCAGTTGCATTTGCAATATTGTTGCACTCCACGCATGTGTGCTCTAGATAACCACATTAATATATCTTCATATTGATAGATGAGCACAGGATGTTTCATATATTATGGTCCTGAAACATTTTCTGCTGCAGGCCTGCATTAATATCATCATAAGACTTGTGAACATTCTAAGTTTCATTTTATTGTAATTATGACAATTTATTATGTTTTAGTATAATTTCATTTTATTATAAGGAGAAACCTACAAAATACACTATTTACATGATTAAAATCCAAAGCTGAATAGTTTATAAAATTTAATATTTGGGAAACTGCCTAATAATAACTCCCCCAACAAAGGACAGCTTTACACACATAATCTGCATCATTTTGAGAAGGGCTTTCCTCAACAAACTAAACTGATCTCAACTCATACAGCAGTAGGAAAGAAGAGATGATTATTTTCCTTTTATTTAAAAAAAATTTAAAAAAAAATAAAAAAATAAAAATTAAAAAAAAAACTTCCATTTTTCTTCTAATACTCCTCCAATTACAGGCTATCATGAAACTCCAATCCATTCTAAATGAGTGCACACTGAGTAATAACCTAATAAGTACAGGCTGTCTGTGAAACTCATGTCCCACTACATTGATTGGGAATTTTGCCAAAGTTTTGAATGAAAATTTTCTCCTGCATCTCTGAGATGATGAATAGAAAGAAACTGTTCCTCCTTTCTCTGGCACTTCTCCACTGAAGCCCTGGCATCCCACAGATCTCTGGCTATGAAAGTTTTTCTCCAGAACACTTAAATGAGACCAGACTGCTGGGGGAGGCAAGCAGAGCTTAGCACAGAAGAAAAATGTTTGAGCAGTTCTTGGTTATGGCAATAATCTGAGATCGTTTGCTATCTCTTCTCAATTAACCAAGAAACTCTACAGCACACAATGAACCTCTTCTGTCTCCCCCCAAGCACCAAATGGATCTTCTTTCAGTGCCTGGAACAGGCAAAAACTACTCTTTGCTTGAGGAACAAAGCTGCCACACTATGGAAAAGACATTAGGGGAAAAAATTGAGAACATACCCATCCTTGGCCAAAATAATGCTCCAAAGCAACCAAAAATTGAGGTATCATAGCACAGTTTTACTGTCTGCAAAGGTAACGAGGCAAAAAAATAGCTGTGAAAGTTTGGAGTGCCACTTGCACAGTTAAAGTGCAAGGCTGCCATCTGCTCCTCTGTGAGGCAGGGAAACAAGGGTAGCAACCCCAGGGATGTGGGATGTGGAAGAGTTCATCCCACTCCCAGGGCTTGGCTACTGGGCTTGGGGCCAACTATGCTTCCCTGAGGTGTCTGCAGGAGATACCCCATCCCTGCCCCTGCACCCTGGGATCTGTCCTGGCACAGCCCCATCCCTGCTCCTGCACCCTGGGATCTGTCCTGGCACTGCCCCATCCCTGCACAGGGATCTGTCCTGGCACAGCCCCATCCCTGCTCCTGTATCCCAGGATCTGTCCTGGCACAGCCCCATCCCTGCTCCTGCATCCTGGATCTGTCCTGGCACAGCCCCATCCCTGCTCCTGCACAGGGATCTGTCCTGGCACAGCCTCATCCCTGCTCCTGTATCCCAGGATCTGTCCTGGCACAGCCCCATCCCTGCCCCTGCACAGGGATCTGTCCTGGCACAGCCCCATCCCTGCTCCTGCACCCTGGGATCTGTCCTGGCACAGCCCCATCCCTGCCCCTGCACAGGGATCTCTCCTGGCACAGCCTCATCCCTGCTCCTGCATCCTGGATCTCTCCTGGCACAGCCCCATCCCTGCTCCTGCACAGGGATCTGTCCGGGCACAGCCTCATCCCTGCTCCTGTATCCCAGGATCTGTCCTGGCACAGCCCCACCCCTGCCCCTGCACAGGGATCTGTCCTGGCACAGCCCCATCCCTGCTCCTGCACCAGGGATCTGTCCTGGCACAGCCCCATCCCTGCTCCTGCACAGGGATCTGTCCTGGCACAGCCCCATCCCAGGGATCTCCCCTGGCACTGCCCCATCCCTGCTCCTGCCCAGTTTGCTGTTTCACCTAAAAGGAAGAACTGATATCCTGAGATGAAGAAACGTGAGAAGACAAAGTTGTTTTAGATTCCAGGACCACTAAGACAGCTGCAGAAGGATCTGGAATGAAGGATTTGCACTTTTCACAGCTAAAATTATAAATAAAGATGGATGTCGAAAATCAGCATATCTGCAGGGTTTTGAGTTATTGTTCCCTTTACCTGAATGAAACTGAAGTTACATCAAACACAGAAATATAAAATTATATTAAATGTTATACGTCTCTTAATGTTATACTTATTCTGAGACTGACACTAACAAAATATTTACTCAACTATATTTTTACAATTTATCACACAGCAGCAAACTGAAGTTCTTTGACAAAAGACATGAGTGAAAAGTTCCCATGACTTTACTCACACTTTTTTTTTTGCTAATGTAAGGCTGTGCACCAGTGTGGCACAAAGACATTTGCAAAGTTTAGAGCTCATTGCTTTTTTGTGACGATGCACGTGCCATATGGCATTTTTCCTGAGCACTTATTAGACTTCTGTTCTTTGCCACAAAATGAAAGCACAAGCTTTTTGTAAATTGTTAAGATTGATGATCAAATATTGATTTTAAAAAATGAACTAATCTTTGGTTTTCTCTACAGTTTTTGATAACATGGTGGGATTCAGACAGTTTTGTTTGGAATCTTTCTATACTTTGCATATTTCTCTTTTCTGGAGCAACAAAATTAGAAACTGAACAGGAAATCTTGAAGCTCTAAGCAGAGAAATTACACTGTTTATGTATTAAGATTAATCTGATTATATGTAAAATTATCTATACAATCAATTCAGAAATACCTGAAATCAAATCATAAAAATTTTCAATAAATCCACCTTTTCTTGTCTTCTCCTTGCTGCCCTCCATGTCTTCTACCCATGTTGAAATTGAAACACAGCTGGTGTATTTCAAGAGTTGCTTCTTTCACGACATCTACAAGAAATTAGAAACTTTGTAAGTAGTTTTTTCTTTAAATAGGAAGGTTTGTTGTTTCATTTTTTCTTTTTAGTTTAGGAGAAAACAAGTTTGTAATAAACCTTCAAATAAATTGCCTCAGTCCAGGTCAGAATTAAATAAACCTAAATACAACCTATAAATAAATAAACCTATAAATACAACACTGGCTTTTGGACATACACAGAATCTAATATTTTACATATAATTAATTGATGCAGACTGGTCCCTTGATTGACTTGGGTTTTTTGCTGGCAGGATCTTGTTAATGATATTTCTGTAAGGTGTCTAACACAATTGGCCCTGGACTTGCCTGAAATATCAATGGAAAACATCTCCCCCACCAATCAACATTAAGGTAACAATAAGGTGATAAAGCAGAGCAGAGTAATTCTGTGAGCCAAAGGAAAGGCCAACTGTACTGCTGAAATATAATTTTAATATTAGATAATATCAGTATCTGTTGCAAAAAATCAATAAATGCAAATTTTATTCAGTAACATTTATTTCCATTTGACTGGCTTGACATCTTTGATATGACTGACTGTTCCTCCTTTATGTATCTTAACCTTTAAATACATCAGTGATATTCATTATCTTAAACCAGCTTTGCTTATCCTGTGCTTAATTTTATGAACTTTACACAGCCTAGCTCAGTATCCAATTTGATGAAGAAGTAACGTGGTCTAATGGCTAAATGACATCCCAATGGGCATCCCAATTCCTCTCTCATCTCTTCCCCTTGCCCTGGACAAGTTCTTCATCCACCCTCTCTGTGGTGACACTGACAAATCTGTTTAGTGGAACTAAATTACCAGAAAATTATCAATTTTTTTTGCAGAATTAGATTTTTGCCCCTATACTTTCATGAACTGTTTCACTGTGTGGTCACACAAAAGGTGGTGCTGATGCAAAGGCTGCAAGAGCTCATAAATGAAGCAAGTGAAGAAGGAACAGCAGAAGAATTTTGCCACTTTCAGTGGCAACTGGCCCTTGGATCAGCACAGATGTATCTTCAAGCTATGCCTTTCAGCTCAAACTGAAGAGACAAAATTTTCCTTGAGGTAAGACTGAAAAATATATGTAAAATAAGAATATTTAACAAAATGATTTTGAGGTACAGCAGGTATATTCTTCCCACCAATACTAAAAGGACTTTACTGCTTATTGTCACACTTGGAAAGTACTCTAGCCTTTAAAAGAATTCACATAATAGAAATATGCTAATCAAAAGTATGATAAATTATAAATTATATCTTTAAAGAAAATAAGCAAAAAGCCAATTAGCCCAGCGCTTTTCTTCAACAAACATGTGGAAACATATCTAATTCTTTTGGAAAGCACCAATTAAAATGAAATGAATAATCAGAATTAAATATTTCTTTTTATAATTACCTTTCTCAAGAAACTGGCTTTAGCATAAACTGTGAAATGCTGCCAGTCTGTTGTGTTTGCAAGCTTTATCCTCACCACAGTTGTTGCTCCCTTGCCTTTGTGTATATTGCACTTTGCATTAGCAAGTAACAAGTGACATTAAACAGACCCATTTCTGATAAGGGTACTCAAACATCTGATTATTTGGTTTAAATTCGTGAGAATAAAAATCAAGGTGTATCAAAAAAGGAGTCTTATTCATTCTTTTAATCACAGGAATTTTAAAAGAGGAGAAATGTGACACAACATGTGTCCCTACACACATGGTTAGCAGCATGTGACTGCAGCGTGTGAACATATGCACAAGAGGGAGGAGAAGAAAACAGGTCCTTTTGTTTGAAAAACACAGGCATAACTGCAATGCAATACTGAGAGAGTGGATGGATATTAAAACTGGTCTGTGTTTTATGGCAGACATGAAAGAAGGAAAGGAAAATGGTTCTCTTTGTTTTCAGAGGTGCAGAAGGATATTGAGTGTGTATCACAGAGTTCCTTACAGTCTCACAGAGCATGATGGAATTCATTGTTGATGAATTCTTCCCAGCCTACATGATAAAACCAGGATTGAACTCACAAAATCTGAACACAGTTACTACAATGTGCACTGGCATAGAGCTGGGAAAAAAAAAACAAGTTGATTTTTATGTATGTAAAATCTAAATTTGAAGAGTTGGACCTTGACTTCAGACAGAATAAACAAAATTCTTTAAATGATCACGAGGCCTCAGTGTGAAGGGCATGGTGTCTGAAAGTTCTACCTTTTCCATCAACAAGCACTCAGGATGTGAATGAGGCCTTTTAATAGCATGAGAATATCTCAAAGGAAATCCCATTATGATGAAAATGGGGATTAGAATATACCACACTGACAAAGTGTGGCCAAGTAATGGTAGTTTACTGCTGAATGAGACCCTCATTTTCAAACAATAGCGTGCTGGTAACTACAGATTGTTAGGCCAGGACAGAATTTATTCCATATATGAAAAATACACATCTTGGAGGATTTAACACCTGGAGGTTTTCTCTACAGTGCTGTTTCCTGTTACCCTTTCATTCCCCACCAGGATAGAAAGCTAAGTACACGTTTAACACCAGCTTTGTGCTCATAGAAGAAACCACATTACTACGGGAGATGGTTGGGAGGTTTTGCACCACGAGAAAACACTCCAACCCTATTCTTTCTTACAAACATGGGAAGATAAAATGTGATAATAAAGCGAGTTTTCCAATGCAATTTGTTAAAATTATTCAGTTTGCAAAGTCAAGCGTTGAAAATCAAGATAAAAATACAGACTTGCAGTTTTTATTTGACTTCAATTACATGAACTCTGATAGACTTAGCAACATAATAATTTCTTTTTATGGTTCATCCAATTTGCTCACTTCTCTGAGCCAGAATGTGCAGGGAAATGAAGAAAAAAATGAACTGTCTCATGGGTAAGGTCTGCCATCCTAGATAAATGGTATATCATTCTTGTCTTTGTTTTAGAAGACTAAAGTAATATTAAATAACTCATCTCAACCAAATTTCCTCAGGAAAAACACAAACACTGGCCTAGATACCTGATTTGGAGAATCTGTGACCTGTTTTTACATTTTTTTCACTAATTGCAAATTAAAGAGATGCATTATAAAAATAAGTGATGTAAATTATAGGAGCTGCATATTCCAAAGCTCAAACGATGTGTAAATACTTATGGCAAAAAGTTGGAGAGGAATAGGTAAAATCCAAGGTAAATTTGGCAGGCTAAAAATGAGAGGGAAATAATTTGTCAGAGGGTACAAGAGTGAAAACCACACTGCTCAGTGCTGGCAAAGCAAGGAAAGGTAAGAGAATCTTTGTATTTCCCTCAGTTAATGCATGCCTGGTTTAGACTGATTGACACCGTGCTTTAAAGACAAAAACTAAGTCATGAAATCTTTCAAATTATCATATTTGACTGAATTTTCATCCATTGATTTTACTCCACCTGCAGCGCACTAGACAAGGTAATAATTTATGATAATTATATGAAAATATACAATTAATATTCATCACCTCTCATTTCTCATCACTTTAGATGATCAGTAATGCAGAGTAAAAATGCTGTCAGATTTCTAATTGCTTTGTAATGGGCCTGAAATAGGGAAATCGTTAAAGACAAACAATCTGTCACTTGTCTGTTACCTTAACTATCTATCACTTAAAAAAACCCTCATTAAATACATTGCTAATGAACGACAAAAGACTGTACTCAGTGTGCCCAGATGTACCTTTTTAAACAATATTGTAAATTGCTTAAATAATTCCCAAGACGTTTTCAATCATTTCTGTGGAAATTTAATGGAAAACATATATTTTCCGTGCATGTTACATCTCATTTGTTCACATCATTATGACATTTAGTCTATCATATGCACATCTCCTGGGAGACAAAACTTTTTCTTTTTACTGTTGACAAATCTGATCCAATTAAAACAAATTCTGGAAAAACCTCAACATTCAGACCTCTGACCCTTTTAAGGTAAAAAATTCCATTAATAATTTTAAAATAATCCTATTTCTTCCAAGGATTTTTAATATCTAGATTAATAAAGAAGCCAAATATTGTTCAATGTTGAACAAATTATTTTATTTTAATTGTTCCCAGGAGACAAAACTCAGAATGTTCACTTTTCCCACTCTTTTGAGTCAGCTGGCTGCTACAGCTCTGACAGAAAAAATCACTTGAAAAAAATTCTTCCCACTGTACTGACTGAAGAGCCAGGATGAAAACAGCACACCAGAAGTATCAGTGAGACCCCATAATGAAATCTTGTACAATTATTTGCCACATTAATTAATTGCTGATATTAACCGCCACATTAAAGTGTTGAAAAAATGAAGACAACAACAGCAAAAATTATTTAAGACAAAATATTCATCTTTGCATGACTTAAACACAATCTCTTAAATTTATCAAAACCTAATCAATATTCAGTGCTTATTTAGGACACTAGAAGAGGTTTAGGTTAAATATTAGGAAGAAATTGTTTCTTGTGAGGGTGGGGAGGCCCTGACAGAGTTGCCCAGAGAAGCTGTGGCTGCTCCATCCCTGGAAGTGTCACAAGCCAGGCTGGATGGAGCTCTGAGTGACCTGGGATAGTGGAAGATGTCCCTGCCCATGGCAGGGGGTTGGAACTAGATGATCTTTAAAGTCCTTTCCAACTCAAATCATTCTAGGACTCTTTGTAGCAGTATAAAACAAACATGAACAAAATAAAAACAACAAAAAACCAAAAAAGCCACAAAACAAACAAAAAAACCCCCTAGTCTTACCAAGACTTTGTAAAATACCATCCAGAAGTAAAAACTGTAGTTATTAGTGAGAAAATCTGGATGTTTCAGCTGGTCCATCATTTGTACTCATCTTTTATTGCAGTAATAGAAGCACGCAGAGTATCGAGTTAAGTCTCTAAATAACTCTCCTATAATTCTGTGACAACACAGCCCAGTGTAATGTGACAGTCTCAGGAAAAGCATCCACTAAAAAGTTAAATATTCTCCCAAAAATGTCTGAA